AATTAGAGCATTCTGCATGCTAAGTAAATGCTCTACCACTAAACTACATCCTCTGCCTTACATTTTCATGTTGAGATATAGTTTACATAGCATAAAATTCACTGTGTGCGGCAGACAGCTCAGTTGTTTGGGTGTATTTGCAGAGTTGTGCAAGTTCACTTCAGTGTAATTTAGAATATTTCCATGTCATAGTGCTATACAAACAAAATGCTGAGGGCTGGGGTATTGGCTCAGTCTGTTTAGTACTTGCTGTGCAAGCATGGGGACCTATATTTGGATTCTCAGCACCCACGTGAAAATGTAGGAGAGGCGGTGGTGTTTATCTGTAATCCTAGCACTGGGGAGGCAGAGATAGGGAGATTCCTGGAATTCTCTGGCTAGGTTGTCTTGCTTAATCAGTGAGCTAGGTTCAGCGAGAGACTCTGTTTCAAAAGGTAGAGAGAGAGATAGAACAGATCCAATGCCAACCTCTGACCTCCAACCTCTGATCTCCACACACTTGTGTGCACACACAAGCATATACTGCATAACACACACGCGCCACCACCACAGAGATATGTACAGCTGGATTGGTGTCCTTGCAATATAAACTAAAAATCCTCTGGAAAGACAAGTTTGCTGAAATTTCCTTGTTTCTAAACCTGTAATTTGAATAAATAGCTGGGAGGAACAGTCCTAAATAGATTATAAAAACTACAAGGCTGTCAAGATGCCACTTGGCAGACAAACCTGATGGTCCAAGATGGATCCCTGGAACTCGAAATGGAAGAGAGAACAAATTTCTAAAAGTTGTCAGCTGACATGTGTGCCATGGTGCAAGCCTGCACACACATGTATAACACACATAATAGTAAGAGAAAATATAATGTGAAACTGCACAGACATTTTTTTCTTTTCATTTCTTTTCCACAGGGTCTCTTGTATCCCAGGCCAGACCTGAACTTATGGTATAACCAAGATGACTCTGAAAGGCTTATCTTTCTGTCCACGTCCCAGGTGCTGTGACTTCAGAAATACATCACCATGTCCACATTGTACTGAGGACAAACCCACGGCTTTGTTCGTCTAGACAAGCACTCCAGCAACTGAACTAACCAAACAAAATGCCCAGGAACCTATGGATTCCTGTTATTTGCTAGTAAGCATCCCCATTTGCTCACTGGAGTAAAAGGACCCAGAACTCCCTGTATTTGAAGAGAACAGGAGAAGTGCTAAGTTAGGTAAAGGAAATGGTGCTCCAAAACAATTCTCACTAATGACAGGAAGAATGGAGGGGGAAGGAGTGTGGATGGAAGAGCAAGCAGTTGGGAAGCCCGAGTACTTGGAAAGCAAGGCAAGAGCAACACTGAGTGTGTGTGTTCACAAGCTAACCTGCTGGGGTTTAGTCAAGTGATCTTCATGACCCATGTTATTAACTAATACCTTCTTCAATGGTACTTCTTTAATTCAAACTCAATGTGCTAATTGGTAGTTGGGGTTACCAAATACAACGTGTGTGTGTGTGTGTGTGTGTGTGTGTGTGTGTGTGTGTGAACAGTGTTCTTATCCAAGTATTAATGGTCAAAATTTAATAAACTCGGTCCTCATAAGAAGCACTAGGCTCATGAGCAACATTAGCTCTTTGCTCACTCATGGACTTAAGGACATCAAGTACTTGGCGACTTTGACATTTCCTCTTTGCTCCTTGGCCTCTCCTGAGGAAGGCATGGTCATGTGCTGTAACGGTGTAATAGGTGACCCGCAACTGTGAAGAGAAGGAAAAGCCGCAGAGGCTGCACTGACTGCCAAAGTCAACACACTGGATCCCCCTCCCAGTAAGATCGCGGCAACAGTTTCCTCCACGCCCCATGGCAAGCCCCATCCAGTCACAGATGACCTGGTTTCACCCAACGCTGGACATGCTTAGCCTAGTTCAGTAGTTTAGCATGTCGTTCCTTTACCCACAAGAAGATTTTTGTTGTTTTTACTTTCAGCTCTTAGCCTCAGTTCAGTCTCTTCCCCACAATGAGTACCTTTGATCTCTCTCTCTCTCTCTCTCTCTCTCTCTCTCTCTCTCTCTCTTTCTCTTTTCGGAGCCCTCTGTTAGGCAGAGATATGGCTGGGCAAGACGTTGACATCTTGACTACAGGTAAACCTTGTATTTGTGTCTTAGGTACTTTTGGGTTGCTGTGATAAGACACCACAACACAGACAGCTTAGGGAAGAAAGGGTTTATTTTGGCTGATGGTTCCAGAGGATTAGGGTTCATGAGGGCAGAGAAGAGGCATGGTGGCTGGAGCAAGAAACAGAGCGCTCCCATCTTCAAGCCATGAGCACAAAGCAGAGAAAAATCAACTGGAAATGGTAACGAGCCTTTAAATTCTCAAAGCCCCTTCAATGACATTCTTTCTACAACAAGGCCATGTGTCCTCAACCTCCCCAAACAGTCCTATCAGCTAGGGACCATATATTCAAATGGCTAAGACTATAGGGGATATTTCTCATTTAAACCAAGACAGCTTGCTACCAGGAGACACAAGCACTGTGCTTTTTCAGGTTTGAAAGAATGGCCACACCCACCACTGACGAGGCTTAGAGTTTTGACTTGGAGCTATAGTGAGATGCTGCAAGGGCTCGAGGGAGCTGTTTCTGAAGATAGCAGCAAGATGCCCCAAGAAGTCAGGAGGGTCCAGCTTCACCCCAAGGCCTTGGGATTTGCAAAGGCAAAGTCAAGGGCTAAGGTAAATATCATTGTCTTGCCATGGGAAAATCTCAGCATGACGTTGTTAAACTGGAAGATAAGTCAGATAGGAGAACAAGGAGTGAAGGGGACCCACGACTGTTCCTCCTACCACCCAACTCAAGGAAGATAGTCCAACTTCCACCCATTCCTAAATGAGACACCTTCTCTGGGCTGAGCACCATAGAAGGCTAAATCAAATGGATTGTAGCCCATCTCCCCAAATGCAAATGTGTGCAGAATGAATCCACAAAATCCAGCTGAAGGCATCCTACCTGAGCTACTCTTCCCCCGGATGGGTTCAAGATGAGAACTCCTATACTCCAGTCCTCTGCTTTCCTAGTTTCCAGCCCAACTTTCCCAATTCTTTAGATGTGTGGGACCCTGCTGAGGCACCATCTTTGCTACCAGCCGCTTTCTCCATGCAAAATCCCACCACTAATTAACAGCTTGCACACCCCTGGCAGATCAGGGGGCTCCTCTCTCACCACTGCAGCTGTACATCACTCGCGAAGAATGCCCAGCAGCTTCTCTTTTGTTCCCTACAGGAAGCAATAGTTCTAAGAGTGTGGTTGTGGGAAGGATTAAGCACATTCGTTCCCTCTTCCCCATCCCATGCCGTGGGTTAAAAGTGCTAAACAATGGTCGTGCTAATAGCATAGGTGTGTGTGTGTGTTGGTTAGTTTTGGGTTTGTTTTTTGTTTGTCAACTTGACACATTTGTTTGTCATCTGGGAAGAGGGAACCTCAATTGAAAAATGCCTGCAGGGAAATATGTGGAGTGTTTGCTTGGCTAAAGATTGACGTGGGAGGGTCCAGCCCACAGGGGTAGTGCGCCCTTGGGCAGGTGGTCCTGGGAGATACTATGGGAGATACTAGGGGAAGAAATTAAACATGAGCCCGGAGAGCACAAGCAGTCATCCTCTGTGGTTTGCTTCAGTTTCTGACTCCAGGTTTGTGCTTGGGTCCCTGCAGACGGACTGTGACCTGGGAGGTATAAAAGGACTAGCTGGTTTTAGTCTGTGCTTTATTGTAGCAGCAGAAAGCCAGCTAGGACAATGTGTGAGCCGCTCAACAATCCCCAGAGTGACTCTTTCTTGTGGGTGTTATCTTTATTTTTTGAGGACACTGAGATCAGCAAGGTTTATTGATGACTGACTACATGTGTGAACACCCACAATTCCAAAGCAAAAACTTAATCCACAATGAGACGGTATTACAAGGTCATTACAATGAGAGACTATTGGGAAAGAGGGCTCTGCCTTCAAGAACAGGACTCATTTCCTGACTAAAGATGCTTCCAGGAACCCGTTTCCTCTTCGTCCATGTGAGTATGCAGTAAGAAGATGCCATCTCCAGAGAACTGGTCCTCACCAGACACCAAATCTGTTAGTGCCTTGTACTGGCTGATTTTGTGTCAACTTGACACAAGCTAGAGTCATCAAAGAGGAAGGAGCCTCAGTTGAGGAAATGCCTTCATGAGATCCAGCTGTAAGGCATTTTCTCATCTAGTGATCAGTGGGGGAGGACCCAGCCTGTGGTGGGTGGTGCCATCCCTGGGCTGCTGGTTATGCGTTTTATAAGAAAGCAGGCTGAGCAAGCCAGGGGAAGCAAGCTAGTAAGCAGCTCTCCTCCATGGCCTCAACATCAGCTCCTGCCTCCAGGTTCTTGCCCTGTGTGAGTTCCTGTCCTGACTTCTGGTGATGTAATGTGGGCATGGAAGCTGACCACACCCTTTTCTCCCCAGCCTCATGGTCTTGTCACCTTACTAGAAACACTAAGACATCCTGAGGCTTGGACGCCTCAGGCTGTAGAACTGTGAGTTACACTTCTGTACAGACTGACCCATCTGAGTTCTGTCACTGTGGCCCAAGGACACTGCAGTGGTCCTCTGTGTGGTTCTCTTGGCTCTCACCCATGTTTTAATGTTAGTTTTAGCAAAGTTCTACTAAATGTCGCATTTTAATGATGATCCAGTTAACACTTAAAACATTTAGCCCTTCAGATCCAAATTTTGTTTATTTAAAAGAAGTCTCTCTTTCTCTCTCTCTCTCTCTCTCTCTCTCTCTCTCTCTCTCTCTCTCTCAGTGTGTTTGTGTCTTAAAGCTACTTCTGGAAAAAAAAATCAATAGAGGACCAAGCTGGGATTCAAATCCAGGTAGTCTGACTTCATGGCAGTGTTCCTGAGTGTGGTGGGGCAGATACAGCGGGCAGAGCCCATCCAGTGACAAGTTGAAAGAATTTAAAATACCAATAAAATCATCCAGAAGTTAGAATGGAGCTTCAATATCACTGAGTATTTTTAATAGCAGTAATGAAATACTTTTCCTCCTTGGGTGGACCACTCCTCTGGACTTAGTAGGCTGGATACTATTCTGTCTACATGTGGGTCCAACCTGGAGCAGCCACAACACAATTCAGAGGAAATCACAAGTGGAAAACTGAGTATGGCGGAGATAAAAGATAGGAAGACCTTGGGCTTATACTTTTTGGATTCTGTTGTTTACATTTTAAAGTTACTGTGGCAAAATGCACCTATAGAAACGTATTGTTTTAATAATTTTTAAGTGTACAGTTTCATTTTCATAGTGTTAGGTCCATTCACAATGTACCTAGCAAGGACTTTACCAGAACTTCCCTATTACTCCAAACCAACCTCTTCAGCTATTGAAAACTTAACGTCCTAATTCTCCCGCTACAGCCCTTGACTCCGTCTCTATGAATTTATCACATATATGTGAAAGCATATGGTATTTTCTTTTTAAATATAATGTTCATTTATGTTTTAGCATATGTCAGAATTTTACTATTTTTCAAGGCCATATAAGATTCCACTGCAGGAAAGAACCTAGGTCTTGAGTGACCTCATTAAGCCGACACATCTTCTAGGATGCTTAGAAGTGAGATAAACTATCCTTCCTTTCTTCCTTTCTTCCTCCCTCCCTTCTTTTCATTTAGTTTTTCAAGACAGAGTTTCTTTGTGTAACCATTTTTCTGGAACTTGCTCTATAGATAGATCAAACTGGCCTTGAACTCACTATGATCTGCCTGCCTCTGCCTCCCGAGTGCTAGGACTAAAGGCATGCACCACCACACCTGGCAATGCACTATACTTTTTCTTTAGGTCGTGGAGAATTGTTTGTTCAGGCATAGCTCACATCCTTCTACAGCAGCTCCCAGGTGGGTGGCACAGAGTACTCAGGACAACTTGCTGGCATGTGGCAGAGTTTCTCCGAATCGTTGATGTGTATATCTAAAGCTATGTATGTGTGCATTAACACAGAACCATAAGGTCCACACCTCTGCCTTTGTTATCCTTAGTTATTTTGATAACCATTTCTTGCTCATTTTAACACTTATAATTACTCAGTACCTAACATTTAGTTCTGCGTAAAAACAAAAACAAAACAAAACAACAGCAAAAGGCCTGCCGAGCTCCAGGTTGCCTGGAACATCGTGCCGTGCTCTCTCAGGAACATAAATTGATATTCTCAGAATACTTATCAAAGTCTTCACTGGAGATAAAAAAGAAGAAAAACATTTGTTCAGAAATGCCACCCAGCATCAGTTCCAGTTTGGCAGGCATGTGAAAGGTGGGTGGTTAATGTCTTCTTATTATATGGCACTTGTGAAATTGAAAGCATTACAGCAATAATAATAGCAATAATAATGAAGGGATACTTACTAAACCTGAAAAAGACGAAATGAGTAGTAAGTTACCCTGGCAAAGAAGGTTGAGAGGATGCCACGAAGGCAGTCGCCTTCTCTGGGAAGCAGACACGAGGTCTGACTGATCTGCAGGCTCCTTGTGGGGCACAGTGGCTTGTAGCTATAAAGAAGTGAGCGGTGGCAGTGGGGGATCCAGGGAGGTGAGGACCAGGAGACACATGAACTGGGAAGAATGCCTTTGTTCATGGGTTTCTATAAAAAAATATATCTTAAAAAAAAAAACCTGAGTAGCTGCATGTGGTAATGCATACCTTTAATCCCATGGTAGAGGCAGGTGGATCTGTGAGTTCGATGCCAAACTGGTCTACACAGCAAGTGTCAGGGCTACACAGAGATATCCTATATAAAAACAAAACCAAAAACCCCAAGTAAGCATGTATAGATTCTTTTCTGTGACTGTCATTAAAAATCAATTATGATGCAAAATATTAATTCATTGTAAGCATGCATTATGTCTTCTGCAATGATCACACTATGTAGCACCTCATGAACATTTAAGGCTTTGCTTGTTGCTTTCTGGCTTCCAGTTTTTCCTGTCCTGGGAGCGTACAAAAGCCTTTAGAGATTCATCAATCCAACCCTTTCATTTCCTAGACAAAGGGGAATGGCTGCCCACTGGCACATTCATCCTCAGTGTCAGAGATTGGCTTGCAAGTAGGTCTCCTGGCCCCCACTGGGCACTTTCTCATTATTTGACATGACTCACCCTTAGCCACAAGCCCAGCCTGTGCTTGTTTGCAGGGCTTTGGTCTCAAATAGGCTGCGGTTCTGTGAGGGAAAGGTACAGGTCTGTGTGGGCCTATTAGACCCAGAAAGGGGAGATGGTAAAAATACATTCTCTACACAAACACAGACCACACCCACACTCAGTCAGACCACCCTAGATAAACAACATCCCCTGAATCAGTCACTGTGTATGAGGGACATTTCTAAGGGTTCACATACAAGGTTATTGATGTCAAAGGCAAACAGCCAGAGAATGGCATGCTTTTTACAAGCTCCGCGCATAAAACCCTGGTTACAGATGGGAACTGGGAGGTCAGGGGACATCTCCATAGAGTCCCTAGCTACCACACTCTCAGAATGATCGCTAATTCGTGGTGGAACCTGGTTCCAAACTCCGGCACAAACAAAACAAACAAAAAAAGCCCGACCATTCTGACATCTACTTCTGATCTACTACGTGTGTGCATCCACATGGCACATGTCCCAGTCTGGCCATCCGTGTTTCTGCTTGACAGCACCAGGATGCTTTGTGGTACCATTCCTGGGAGAAATAGGAATGAAGTGGTCAGGCCTCTCGCGGTCGGAGCCATTTTCTTCATGTCTTTTGAGAACTTTTAATACCGTAGTTTGAAAAATGGCTGTCATATATGCCTGTTCACAGTAACGTAAGAAATGAGTTAAGAATATTCATAAACTATGGAAACTATTAAAAAAAAAAGTGCTAGAAACTGACAACCTGGAGTTTATCATCAGAAAGTACCATAGCCTGCAGAAATGTAGCTTTCCTGTGCTCCACAGATTTCTTAAAAGCAGCCGCACTCAGAGAGAAGCATTGCCTAGACACTGCTTGCTCAAGTGAAGATGAATCATTTTGTTTACAAAACAGGAGCCAGCCGGTTGTCTGCATCGTCTCAGGCAACGGACTGTCCCCGTAGCGCATTCCGCGTCTCCTTCCATATCGTTCGCTGCCTCTCGTACACGGACTCCTGGAAAATCCTCTCCACTTGGGTAGAAAAGCCTCGGCTTTCTTCCTCTAGGGCGTTGATGGTCTGCAGCGCCAAGGGAGTCCTTTCCCGAGGGAGGGGGCTGTTCAGGGGCCGCATGGGTATGACGGAGTTGTATTTGTGCTGCCTGTTCACAGAGTTCATCAGGGAGGTGTAGAACTGGAAGTTACACCAGGTGTCTCGAAGGAAGTTTTCAGTCAGTAACAAGATGGTCCACGCAGACCCATTTACAGCATCGTCAAGATTCTGCAAATGCAGCCTGCCACACGGCATCTCGGCAAAAATGATCCCCGGCCTGATACCAAAGTCATTTTGCAGCAGATCCTGGACCCTGAGGGCCTCATCTAAGTCGTCCTCTGCATGCAGGATCACAAATTTGAGGAAGACTTCTTCTTCAGCTTCCTCCTCAGGCATCTCGCCTTTTGCCTCAGCTCCCTCCTGCTCTCCTGGCGGGTCTGTTCTAGTGCTGTGTTCCACAAAACCATGCAAGGACACATCCTTAGAATCCTCCGATTCATGGCCGTCTGGATCTGCATCCTCACTGTGTCTCTTGTGCCAAGAAAGAAGGCAGTTATCTAGTTTAGACTTCCCAGCACCCATGGCGGACATGTGGGGCAGAAGAGGGAGCTTTACTTGAGTCTCAGCATTTCTTCTCAATCTAAAAAGGGAATAACAAAACAGAATATTATATGTTTAATCAAAACATTAAAAAAAAACTTTTGTTCAAACTGAAAAAAAACTAAAAATAAAAAACACTGTAACATAGAGGCCTAGGAAAGAAATGGCAGCCAACCAAGAAACCAAACTATCAGGGTTTTGTGAGTTTCACAAGGGCTGCCAGAGACAAGAGAAACATTTTGGTAGCAAACAGATACAAATGATGTAGATATCCCACAGATGACTGACAGCTGATCTGCTGAGTCAGCACCGAGGGACCTGAAATGTCGGTGTTCAGGATTCACTGAATTTCCGTGGCGGTGGACGAGATGGAGAGGAGACGAGGCCACACAAACCAGCTTTCCCCAGGTAGTCTTCAGGATGCTAGAGAACAAATATCCACCCGGGGAAAAAGTTAATATCCCAGTTTGTGTCAAAATCTAGGAACTAGGATCTGCAGCTTTCTCGAGTAAAGGCAACCGAGGATGAATTTCCGTTTATTCTTTCGTGATCTGAAATTCTGGAATTACAAGAATTAGACCAGCTGCAAAAGAAAAGTGATCCATGGGAGTGGAATTTAAATAATTTCAGAAGATGTTGGTAATGTTAACTTCAAGGGAAAAATCTTTCATCAGAAGACAATTTAGACTACATGAACACTACTTTAATATTTTCAAATATAAGTTACAGGATATAGAATCTATTATTTATGCTCAAAGACCAGATTTGAGAATAAACTAGGCTTTTGAGCCTATGCCTTTTCCCAGCTTGCATACATTCTTGGTGCTGTCTTTCTCTTTCTTAATTACTTTCTCTGTTTCTACCACCATAGATGTGTATACAGCCGCATCCGCAGTGACCTAAAGAACATAATGGCAAGGTTGCACATAATTCAGATCTAGAAGAAGTGGTGACGCTGCTGGAAGAACACACCTGGAATGTTATTCTGGTATACACAGAGGATAAAATCCCTTGTGCTGCCTCAGGTTAGTGAAGGAATTGATAGTCCCTGCTTGTCACGTGTGGTCTTTGTTCTTTAAGGCTGGCTCCAAGGTGCCAATTGAGCAAGAGGCAGTCTAAAGTGCCACTCTAAAATGTAGCCCGCACGCTTTGGAAATAATAAAACCTAATTGATTTGCCATTCTTCACCGGCTAGGACTCACTGCTGCCTTTTGTTACTGGTGAGGGTCTCATGAGGTCACTGCTCACCATGTGTGTCTGTGTTTAGTTTAGCTCACCTTTTAAAAAAAGGCAGTGATTCTCAGACATATACCCAAAGGGTACTTTATCCTGCTATAGCAACAATTGCTTAGCCATGTTCCTTGCTGCTTTATTCACAACAACCAGAAATCAGAAAGAACCTACTTGTCCCTCAACAGATGGATAAAGAAAATGTGGTGCATTTATACAATGGAATATTACTCAGCCATCAAAAAATTAAATCATGAAATTTGCAAGTAAATGGATAGAACTAGAAAAAGTAATCCTGAGTAAGTTAACCCAGACCCGGAAAGACAAATATAAGTATACACTTATATGTGGATATAGTCATTAAATCAATGGTAAGCAAGGTATAATTCATAGAACCACATCAGTTAGGTACAGAGTGAGTGGGTGCAGATAGATGTCCCCAGGAAAGGGGAATAGTATATTTATGGATGGATGGATGGGAGACAGGAACGGAAGGATCAAGAGGGGAAGGAGAACGAGGAGGATGAGGGAGGGAATATGGGAGCGACACCTAAAATTAACAGCCATTTGAGGAAGAGTGTGGAAACCTAATACAACAGACGCTTCCTAAAATATATACACAAATGAAGGCGAGCTAAATGAAAGAGCCAAATAATGGGGGAGACAGAGCCCCAACTTGCCATTTCTTGTCACCAAATGAAGCTTCAAGTTCCAGGATTGGATTGTATCTAATTGAATTGTTGGTCATAGGGGTCCCATGGAAACCCCCAAAACAACCCAGGCTATTGCCAAGACTACAGGTTGCTCTCCACAAATTGATAGCATTACTAAAGACACCACTTATACAACTCGTTGAACATTGAGAAATGGGGTTGGTGCCTTCACCCCTATGTTCTGTGTCTTTGGTACAGCAAAATACTTTGCTGATGGTGAAAGATACAAAATAATCACACAGTAGTTCAGAATTATGTATAATAAAGGGTTTTTTATTTAGGGGAGACTTACAGATCACTGTCGTAGATCACAGTCCTGTACACAAATGGGGAACAGGAACTGAATCTAATAGCTGGAAGCGAGAATCGGAAGCAAGAGAGTGAGCACAGGCTTCACAGCTGCATTTATAGTATAAGAGACCACACCCAAGTGCACTGATATCTTAAAGGCTATTGGCTGAAGGAGCTGAAGGAGCTCCCGCAGTACCCTGCCTGCCTCCAAAGGAGATATATAAAACACCACTAATGGTTTGATCTACAATGGTATCCTCTTGGCAAGACATGCTAGTGCAATGGTGGCACAAAGTTTGTGTGAGTAACCAACCAATATCTGATTTGACTTAAGGCTCACTCCATAAAATGCGACCCATACACGACACTGCTTGGGTGACCATGAACCTGAGGCTAGGTAGCCCAGGGACCTAGGGTAAAACCAAATATGACAGTTCTATAAATAAATAAATAAATAAATAAATACTAATAAAATGATTCCTAATGACATTTTGAAATACTAATAGATTAGAGCATAGGTTCTCAACCTTTCTAATGCTGCAACCCTCTAATACAGTTCATGTTTTGGTGATCCCCCAACCATAAAATTATTTTTCTTGCTACTTTATAACTATAATTTTCTACTGTTATGAATCATAATGTAAATATATGATCTTCAGATAGTCTTAGAAAACCCCTGTGGTAGGGCCATTAGACCCCTCAAAGGGGTCACAATCCATTGATTGAGAACAAATGATCTTGTTTAGCCTCCATCAAAAGCCTTGTGTAGCCTTCCTTCTACAGCAGATGGCAACAAATACAGAGACCCACAACCAGACATTATACAGAGAATGAGAGACCTAGGAACACTCACCCTCAAATGTGATGGCTCTGTCAATCCCTCCCCTCAGGGTTCAAGGATCCCCTTCGAAGAGGAAGCAGGAAGAGGACCTGAAAAAAGTGGAAGAGAAAGAGAGGATGGAGGACACTAAGAAAACAAGGCCCACTAAATCAATGACCAACACACATATGAACCCACAGAGACTGAGGCAGCACGCACAAGGACTACATGGCAGAGAGAGGGGCAGCCTGCTCTAACTCATTTCACAGGATCCCAAGAGAAGGCAGAGAGAGGGGAGGCTTGCTCTAACTGATTTCACAGGATCACAAGAGAAGGCAGAGGGAGGGGCAGCCTGCTCTAACTGATTTCACAGGATCACAAGAGAAGGCAGAGAGAGGGGGCAGCCTGCTCTAACTGATTTCACAGGATCACAAGAGAAGGCAGAGAGAGGGGGCAGCCTGCTCTAACTCACTTCACAGGATCATTCAGTGCTTGCAGTAAACAGAATGAGGAGAGTAAGTGCAGATGCAAGATCACTAGTGTTAGTCAAAGAAACCTGACAGAAAATAATGGTGACTTGAGACATAGTGGCTGCAGAGCAAGTGACTGAATTGAGATATGTTTTGAAAACAGAACCGAAAGGAACTGATGCTGAGCAGACCCTGGATACTATGGAGTTGGGAAAGAGGTTAACTCTGGAGATGCTTATTTGACGTTTATCTTCATACATCCTGTTTTTTTTTCAATTATCATTTAGTGTTTAACTACCTTATGTATTGGCCAAGATGGACTGTTGCAGAATATTAATTTAAGATGTATGACATTCACTTATTCTGTAAAACATTTGTTTAATGACACAAAGATGTGTTGCATTCTTTTATATTGCTTTTGTTTAACTCTGTGAAGTTGTGTTACTTTGCCTGTCTAAAACACTTGATTGGTCTAATAAAGAGCTTAACAGCCAATAGCAAGGCAGGAGAGGGACAGACAGGGTTGGCAGGCAGAGAGAATAAATAGAAGGAGAAATGTGGGGAAAGGGGACCGAGGAGTGAGAAAAGGAGGAGAGGAGGACCTGAGGGGCCTGCTGCCCAGCCACACAGAAAGACCACAGAGTAAGAAGCAAAGAAGTTTTTTAGGATAATGATAAAAGCCCAGAGGCAAGACGTAGATTGAGTAACTTAAGTTAGGAAAAGCTGGCTAGAAATAAGCCAAACTAAGGCCAGGCATTGATAAGTAAGAACAAGCCTCTGTGTAACTATTTGGGAGCTGGGTGGTGGACCCCCAAGAGTCAAAGAGTAAAGGACAGCCAACAGCAGGTAACAAGCAGAGAAATACGGAGAGCAGAGAGAAGTGCCACGAGGTGAGAAGACAGTGCGGGAGGGATGGACAGATCACTTGGGGAGAGTTCAAAAAGAAGCCAGAGAAAAGCAATATAGAAAATCCACGTGTAGTCGGGTGGTGGTGACGCACACCTTTAATCCCAGCACTCAGAAGGCAGAGGCAGGTGGATCTCTGTGAGTTCGAGGCCAGCCTGGTCTACAGAGCAAGTTCCAGGACAGGCTCCAAAGCTACAAAGAAAAAGCCCGTCTCGAGAAACGAACAGAAAGAAAACCCGTGTGTATGTATGCATGTGTGCACAGGATGCAGGACAGCCTGAAATGCCATTCCTCAGAGCCTTTGCACCTCATTTTTCAGAGACTTGGAGCCCAACAGTTAGGCAAGATTGGCTGGCCACCGAGTCCCAGAGGTCTGAGTTTGCTGGGATCAAAATGAACACCTCCACCCCCAACTTTTTTTTTTTTTTAAACAAAACAAAACAAAAAACCCCAACAAAACAAAACAAAAATATGGGTTCTGAGGATCAAAACCAGGTCCTCTTGCAAGCATTTTACTGACTGAGTTATCTTCCCAGCCCTAGAAAGTCCACTTTGAAATATTTTGTCACAAAGAAAAAAGGTAGAAACATGAAGGAAGACTAGTGGCGGGCGGGGGATAATTTATAAAGGGTCTATCAGTAGTAAAGAGTAAGTGTTGAAGAGAAAATTGTGTATGAAGTAAGGGGCAGGCAGGGCTATGACGGGCAGACAAGAGGGAGTAGTTGGTCTTCGCTAGATAAATGGATGAAAACGTAGCTCGGCTGATAGAATGCTCACCTAAGAGTTTACTGTCATTTCAGTTAATCTTTTAAAAACATTTTGACCACCTAATTAAAGGGGCTCTCAAATTGTAGGAGTAAAATAATAATCTGATAAAATACATATGAACATTAAACTTTCAGTCTGTCTGTGTGTTTATCACGGGAAAAGGTTATATGTTTAAGTTATATGTTTCTTATATATATATAAGAACATATAACATGGTTATATGTTTAGGTTATATGTTTCAAGTACCTTTGAAATTTGGCACATTTAAAACCCCAGTATGTCTGTGATATTTGAGTCGGAGAACCTTTTTTTTCTATCTAATCAGCACCATCTTGTGGCAGAAATAGGTAAAATCAATGCTTCTTGTTCAACTAATGTTTTGCTATTAATGAAAAAAAATGCTTTATTGTTATTTACAGGTTTTGTTGAAAAGTTATCCTACACCAAGACTTGCTGGGTTTTGAAGGATGTGACGCCAGGGTGGGAAGACAGACAAATAGGATCCACTGCACTCTGCTTTATGCAGGGTACCAGATGATAGGAATGCACTCAAGAGGACTACTTACAGCAGGGAGCAAGGACCAGGAGCGCATGGGTCTCAGAAACGCTCAGGAATCAGAGGCCCAACTGTGTTGGGATCATTCTGCACTAGGTAGTTATAGGGTTCAAGTTTACACATGCGGGATACGGGGGTAGAACAGAGGTAAGGGAAGGCTGGGGGAAATTATGAGCAGAAGAGACTTAAAGGTACTATGTTCAGGGCTCTGGAGAGATGGTTCAGTAATTAAGCACGCACACTGGACTTGCTGAGAAGCCAGGTTCTGCTGTGGAGTATTTAACTATGTAAAGATGTGTTGCCTTTGTTTATGATGTGGAATTTTATTTTAACTGTGTAAAGGTGTGTTACATTTGTTTAATGATGTAATGATATGTTACATTTGTTTCACCTTGTCTGCCTAAGGCACCTGATTGGTCTAATAACGAACTGACAGACACTAGGTAGGCAAAGAACGGATAGGTAGGGCTGGCAGGCAGAACAAATAGGAGGAGAAATCTAGGCTCAGGAGGAAGAGTGGAGAGAAGAATGAAGAGAATGAAGGAGAAAGAGGAGATGCCCAGGGCCAGTCAGCCAGCCAGCCATGGAATAGGACATAAAGAAAGGTGAAAAGCCCCAAGGTAAAACGTAAAGAGAAAAAGGTGCTGGGCTATGGTGGGGCATGCCTTTAATACCAGCACTTGGGAGGCAAAGCAGGTGGATCTCTGTGAGTTCGAGGCCAGCCTAGTCTACAGAGAGATTTCCAGGACAGCCATTGATACACAGAGAAACCCTGTCTCAGGGGGGAAAAGTGGGGGTTGGGAGGGTGGGAAGAGGTTAATTTAAGTTAAAAGAGCTACCCAGAAATAAGCTTGAGCTAGGTCGAACATTTAAAACTAATAGTAAGTCTCTGTGTCATGATTTGGGAGCTGGTTGGTGGTACAGGGTTCAGTTCCCAGAATCCATTGGGTGCTCACAACTGCCTACAACTTCAGCTCCAAAGGATTCAATACCCTCTTCTGGATCTATGGGCTCCTGGACTCAAGTACAAACATCCACACACAAAAGTTGTAGTCCAAGGCTACGTCTCAAACTGTCAGCAGAACATCCCTGTGGTACTCATTTTTGGAGGCATGAAAGACGTACATTTGAGGGATTGTGGAGTCCTGATCCACAGTTTCGGGAAGCAGCTGAGGACAGGCAATATGTTCCAGGATGAGAGTCCTTGCAAGGAAGTGTTGAGAGACCCATGTGCGAACCTGTGAAAATGAAACCTAGCCTTCAGTGGAGCCCCCAGGATGTTGGTGATGGCAAAGCTGTGGGATGTCTGCCATGGACATCTGTGGGTATGGAGTGGAGGGGGCTCAAGAGCAAGGCTGAGTGCTGCAGATGGCAAAGCTGGAGGAATTAGGCTACCCAAGGCGTTCAGAGCCTGGCCAGTTTAATTGTGACAGTACTACGACCACCTCTATATCGGACACTGAGCTACAGGATTTAGCGTTCACCCTGCGGGGTTTTGGTATGGTTTTTGTCTGACTATCCCTTGCTATGCTCGGATTCTTCTCCTTTGGAATGAGAATGCTAACTCTGGGAGGAAACTGGAGCGATGTCTCAGAGGTGATGAGCAGACTGTTATAGCTATAAAAGCATTTTATAGCATACTGTTCTTGTTACAGGACCCAGGTTTAGTTCCCGGCACACAAGTCACAGGGCTCACAGCCTCCTGTAACTACAGCTCCAGGGGCTCTGACACATTTGGCCTCCAAGAGCACCTGTAGTCACGTGTACACACCCAACACACACATGTAATTAAAAAATAAAATAAATCTCAAAAATGTTTACTTTGTGTCGTTTTATGTTAGAAGTATGAGATTTGGTTTCAAATTTTTATCCAAACTCATAATTAAGAGAATTTTGACTTTTAAAGTCTAGGAACTATTAATGACTCTGAGATCTGTTGATGTTGGACTGACTTTAGTGTCCACTAACAGTTACGAGCCTACAGGGATGAAGAGTGAAAGGTGAGGACTTGCACGTGATGTCGACCAGAGGTGAAACCGTGACAGTCAGTGCCAGTTGTCAACTGGTTGGATCTAGAATCACTTAGAAGCCAGGCATCTTTTGCATACCCACCAGAAACGATCTAGTTTAGTCTCTGGCCATGCCTGCGGGGGATTGTTAGGTTAGGTCATTGTGGTGGGAAGGCCTGAGTACTGTGGTTAGTGCCATTCCCTGAGTTGGGATCCTGGACTGTATAAGGAGAAAGTAAACCGAGCATGCGTCCATCACTTTCCGCTTGCTGACGGACCTGTGATGTAGCAAGTGACTACAAGCTCCTGCTTTGGTTTTCCAGTGCCGGGAGGAAGAAACCTGAGGTCTTCCGGGGCTTGTTAGCCAGACAAGCTGAATCAGCTAGTCCCAGGGTGAGAGACCTTGCCTCAAAAATCAGGGTGGGTGGCCATCCTAAGGGACAATCCCATAGGTTGATTTCTACCTTCCACAATATATGTCTATATATGTGCATGCACAACCATATCCACAAGTTCCCACATGTACACACACATACACAGAAACAATAGCAATGTTTTGCTATTAAGAAAGCACCCCAAATATTCCTGCAGCCAGGGAGGATAGTTACAAGAATGGAAGAAATATGGCTGGAGGCCTATCCTGACTCTAGATTATTGCTATGTAGCCCAGCTTTGCTCCTGCCTCATGTGCTACCACTCCTGCCTTAGGAGACTTTTTCAAAGGTCGTTGAGCTCATCTATATTTGGGACGTCCAGTAGAAAGTAAACTTAGTGTTCTTATTTCTAAAAGTCACCCCTTCCAGGGCTGGAGAGATGGCTCAGAAGTTAAGAAAAGTCACCCCTTCCTCTGGGCCCACAAGAGACTCAAACTCTGAACGCTGTTCTGTGGGATTTCCATGAAGGCGAGACCACAAGAATAAACACCAGTGACAAGGACTATAGCATTTCCTGGAACAGCTACCACTACCGTTCTTAGTAGGTCAATAACCGCTGACCCACAATACACTGTCAGGACGTGCAAAATAGATGGGTGGATGGACTAATGGACACACTTACCAGTTTTTCCTCTTCAATCTGTTCTACATCAGACATGCTTCTCTGTAGATGAAAGTTTTATATTATCTGTCTACCAAGACAGAACCCTGGAAAGAACCCTCACACTCACCCATTCTCTCCCTAGCTTCTCCCAACTAATCTTTGATTCCTACAAATATGTCTCCTAAACTTTACAAAGTTTTTTAAAATCCTTTTCACGGTATTGTCTCTATGAAGTAAAGACTCACATCCCTCCTTAGATGTCTATAAATCCCATAACTCAGCTGGTCTCATGGCCTCCATGTCACTACCCTTTGAAGGTTATTTTCAGAAACATTTTTCCGCAACGGAAAATCAGAAATGAAAAATGCTATTTTTTTAATTGCTTAAAGATCCCCAGATAATAACCTGTACCTTTGGGGGAAAACTCTCTTTTCTTTGGCTATTAACCCTCCATGACTGCATCTCTCCTTTTCTCTGTAACATCTGCCCCTACTTTATTAACTTTCAAAGATATAACACCCTTTGATTTGGCAATCCCCAAAATCTTCTGTTCTAGCTTCATTTCTGTTGCTGTGAGAAAATATTCCAGCAACAGATGATTTAGAAGAGAAAGGATTTATTTGGCTTATAGTCCCAAGTTCCAACACATCTGTGGTGGTCACAGACTTTTATATTTGAATGTTTGTTTCCCAATTGTTGGAACTGTTTCGTAAGGATTAGGAGGTACGGCCTTATTGGAGGAAGCATGTCACTGGGGTGACCTTGGAGGTTTCAGAAGTGCAGACCAGGACCAGTCTTACTTTCTTTGTCTGTGAATCAGGATGTAAGCTCCCAGCTATTGCTCCAGCACCAAGCCTGCCTGCCCGCTGCCACGCTCGTCGCTATGATGGTCATGGACCAGCACTCTAAGTAAGCCCACAGTAAATGCTTTCTTTTATAAGTTGCCGTGGTCATGGTGTCTCTTTACAGCAACAGAACAGCAACCAAGACACCATCATTCAGGGATATCGAGGCAGGAAGTCAAGCAGATAGTCACATCACATTCACAGTCAAGAGCAAAAAGAGAATAATGCACCCTTGATTGTTTGCTTAGTACCCAGCAAATGTTCTTTAGTTTTATAGAACCCAGGGCCCAAAGCCAAGGGATGGTGCCACTCACAATGGCTGGGTCTCCCAACATCAATTAACCATCAAGACAGTCCCCTGTAGACAAGTCAACTGGCCCACCTCATTTATACAATTTTGTAAGTGGCCAGTAAACCTAACCAGCACACCCTCGTGTGTCTTACCTGTGTTTTACCTGTTTAGAACACATGCTCCCACTGTCTACAGAAGTGATCTTTTCTATTTCAAGACACTGTTTAGGGCCATGTTGTCAGAAAGCATACCATGTCTAGGTTGAACTGAGTAGTATTCCCCTGTGGTGCTGTAATGTCCTGGTCACCTTAGCACTCTTGTAGTCCTTGCGGACTTGGGAGGCAGCTTCAAACTGCCTCAAAACTCACTCTGGCAAATGGCAATGTAAAGTGTTATTTATTCCCATGGCAGAATCCTATTAACAACGTTTATGAATTAAATTAATTCCTTCTGTAATAATTAGTTGATACAAAATAATATATATAGGATGACCCTAGCTTTGTAATGCAAAATACAGATAAAATAGACAGGAAAAACTACACCAAAAAGTTAGTATTGATTATCTGTGGATGTTATATATACAAGGACATGTAACTATTTTTGTTCATATATATTTACACACATATATAAACACATAAATATTTCTCACATAAGCACACATAAATACATGTATTTTACAAGGACTATGCTATATGAAGAAAAGGGGCTTATTATATAAAAATATTTTCTACGTTTTGTCTTCTAAAATGCAGGTCACATTAACTCAATGCCCATATAGCATGGGTTAAGTCACCTTTGTATTTAACTATATTTCGTCTTCTCTTTACATACATGCAAATTTTGCAATGGCATGGATTTGCTAATTCCACAACAATCCAGTTCCCAGAGCTTCTCCAGTCCTCTCCACAACTCTAAATACTGCTCAGTCACTGGAATCTGAGCATCACCCCAGCGTGCAGAGGAGGCCGTAGAGAAAATAAATGCTTAATTACTTTAAAAACTGCCTCTGTCAAGGTTGAAGAGATAGCTCAGAGGTTAAAAGTACTGGCTGTTCTTCTAGAGGACCTGAGTTCAATTCCCAGCAGCCACATGGTGGCTCATAGCCATCTATAATGAGATCTGGTGCCCTCTTCTGTCCTGCAGGCACACATGCAGACAGAACACTGTATACATAATAAAACAAATCTTAAAAAAAAAAGAAGTAACCCAGATCTAGAAACACAATTATCACATGTACTCATTCATAAAACAAAGAAAACCAGCCTACAAATCACAATCCCAGAGAACCTAGACAACAATGAGGACCCTAAGAAAGACATACATGGATCTAATCTACATGGGAAGTAGAAAAAGACAAGATCTCCTGAGTAAATTGGGAGCATGGGGACCATGGGAGAGGGTTGAAGGGGAGGGGAGAGGCAGAGAGGGGAGCAGAGAAAAATGTAGAGCTCAATAAAAATCAACAAAATTAAAATATAAGAAAGATGGCTGCACAGATTTAACAGCGGCAACAGGAGGAGCATGGTTTATAGATATCACAGTTTCAGGGGCACAGCAGTCTCTGCTTACTCAGCACTGCTTTTCTTCAGCTTCAGTTTCATGGGTTTAATCACAATCCAAAACTACTAAATGGAAAAGTCCAGAAATGTGTAATTCTTGTTTTAACTTCTTACTAGTCTGAGCAGTGTCCCGCCGGGACCTGAGTCATCCTTCTGTCTGGTATGTCCACACTGAAGCTGCTACTTGCCTGGCAGTCACTGTGTAGAGTATCAGATAACTGTCGGAGTACCACAGGGTGAGTATCCAAGTAACCCTTATTTTGGCAATTTTATTACAGTATACTGCTATCACAGTCCTATTTACCAGTTACTAATTTCTAACTATGCTTAATTGACAAATTAAGCCAGCCTACAGGTATGTGCATGAAGAAACCCTTACTTTTCATAGGGTTTTCTGGAACCCACTGGATTGAGCAGATAAAGGCCAGCTGCTGTACTAGCTTCAGAACCTAGCAGTCCACTCGCAGGGCAGCGGCAAAGGGTCTGGTTATACCAGCGCAGAGCTCAACTGCACATGAGAAGGAAAAGGAGGGGAGCAAAGAGTCAGAGAGAGTAGCGGTCACTGTGGCGGAGAAGGAAGGCAGAAGAGATCAGAGAGTCGGGGGTAGGATCCCAGGCCTTTAAAGTCACTGTTAAAGTTGTTTATTTGTTTTGCTTTTTAATCATCCTCATGAGAAGCTACCAGAGGGTTTTGAAGAGAGTAAAAGTTCTGACATTAAAAAAAAAAAATATTCACTGCTTTTTAGAGGCTGGCTCTAGAGAAGCCAGGGCAGAAACATCTCCTATGGCTTAGCTTGAGAGGGAGAAGGCAGTCAGGTGCAGCCCACGGAGTTTGCTGGCCGCTTAAATCTCAGCTGAAATGAAGACGGCAAGCCTGGGGTGCTCATGCACACCTTCAGTCCCAGCACACAGGAGACAGGAGACAGAGGCAGATGGATCTCTCTGGGTTTGAGGCCAACCTGGTCTACACAGTGAGTTCTAAGACAGCCCCAGCCGACATAGCAAGATCCTGTCTCAAATAGCAACAACCAAAAGCCAACCAATCAGCCAAAGGCCAGAATGAGTATCTTTGAGGCAGAATGAAGCCATCATTGTATAGATGTTACCTATAGTCAGGGACTAATGGTTCCTGGTGAAAATCATTTGGGGAGAATATATCGCTAAGACAAGGATGGCTAAGACCTGGGCCCTGGGCACTCTAACATTTAGTCATCGAGAAGTCTCAGTGACCAATGGGGTGGGGACACAGCAGAAACCAAGAAGCTGCACGTCTAAGGAAGGACGCAGACCACTGAGGAGGAGCACGCCTCTGACAATGGTGACTGACTGGTCAGGGAAGACGAGAACTGAGAACCGTGCACAGACACCAGCTTTCACAAGACTGTCCCTGATGTCACCCAGAGCCAGCAAGGGGAAAAGGAGGAGGAGAAAAAAAAATAGGAGAAGTAGGAACACAGGCCCAGAGGCAAGCCTTCCAAAGAGGCTACTTAATAAAGGGGAGCCAGGATATGGGGACATTTGGCCTGGGGGGTATTATTTAAAGGTGGTATTCAACTTTACACACTTGCTAAATTGATGACTAAAAAAAAAATCCACCAAATGAGGAGCAAAGGAGATGTGATTGTACAGCAGAAACGTGGTTTGTACTTCAAGCCCCATAAAGTAACAATGGCTTTGCCTCAAATATAACTCACTATTCTTTATGTGCTCATCTATTTTCTGGTAGAAATGATAGACAATGGAGCTAACTTTGAATATGTCCATGACACTGCTAAAGTGTTAGGTCAGTAAGGATCATATTTTAAAATGCCTTTTGAAAGCTTATTGTTCTACAAAACTTGAGTGGTTCTAACTAATGCAATACTGAAACCAGCTCAAATGACTTCCATTCAAATTAGCCCTGGAAAAGCAGAATAAAAAAACTTCACACACAAAACTTTCTGCATTGGCTCTGTGTGGCTGGCTGAAATGGCACAGAGCTCTTAAAAGTCACGTAAGCCTCTATTTGCTCATGGTCCTGAGTGTCTTTCAAAAATCTGTTCCCAGCACTCCAAAGGGATAGGAAGGATAGAAATTTGATGGGCTACATAGGGGTGGAGGCTAGCCTCTACTACATGTCTTGAAACAAAACCTTCCTAGTCAAAACGATACCCATGACTGGCAAATAGGTGCGCGGGTTTTCCCTCCAGAAAGGGGCAGCCCTCGGATGGAGGCACCGGGCCTGCCCAGCAGACACTGCGGACCGACCTGGGCTGCACGCTACTCCCAGCCACCCGTTCCCCGGCGCCCGCAACTTGCCTGGGAAGCAGTGCTGCGCGGCCACGAGGCTCTTCAGTTTTCTTCTCCCACTGAACAAGCCCTTATTGACAGGTGACTCGTCGCAAAGGTCTGTAAGTTAGGATGTGACTGCCAGAGATCTTGTTCCGAAGCTGCTGCGACTCGGCACGCCACGCCCAGTGAGTCTGCGGCGGGAAGACCTGGGCTGGTCATGGAGCCCTCGGGGTAATGGACTTCGCTTTCGGAGGTCGTGCTCTGCGGGCCTCCCGGTGTCCTGGCAGACTGGGCCACCAGTGACCGAGTGGAGGATGGGGTGACTGTGCCCAGGAGGAAGCAGATGGCCAAGGGCGGAGGAGGGGAAATGCCGTGGGGGAACTGTTACCCAGGCAAATGCCGACTTGCCTCCCTGGTTTTGTTTCTTCCTTTTGAATTTCTGTTTTCCTCCTTTTAAATTAAGTCCCAAAGTCCAGGCTAGGAGAAGCCCGAAAAGGAATTCGGCTTCTATCTGTTCCTTACAGTTCAAATAAGGCCCAAGACCAACAAAAAAACCCCAACCAAACTAACCAACAAGAATCTAGTAAAAACTACAAACCTTCCAGAGTCCCCATACTCTATTTTTACCTCA